TGACGAAGAAGATGGCATCGTTGGCGGTGTCTCTGGATGGATTGTACGGCCCCCATTTCGTAGGTCGGATCGCTCTGAACTCTGTGTTAAGCTGCAGTCCCGGTTAGAGGCGACGCCGAAGTACAGAGCCACGCACAGTAGGCGTCTGCACATCGGACCTGCCTCGGAGAGAATGCTGCCAGTTACCTCCAAGCCCGAGAAGGCAAACTGACAGTTCACAGAGTTGAAGATCCTCGGGTTGTATGTACTTGTGTTTGTTTTAATAAAGCTCTCTCTTTGCATAAACATCTTCCTGGCAAATGTTCATTTCCTGTATAAATTCATTCATGTCCTTGATGGTAGCCTAATAATAGTGTAGTAGTGTAGGATAACATGAATATACAGCATATTAATAAATTTATATATATATATATATATATATATATATATATATATATATATATATATATATATATATATATATTTATTTATTTATTTATTAGGGTTGTCACGATACTAAACTTTTCAACCACAAGGATAAAAACAAAGAAAAAAAATTCCACAGAAATATTTTCATTCATAAATAAAGTACAATAAATAAGTACAATAAAGGTTGTATGCTGTGCACAATATTAAGCAAGCTTGATAAAAAACTTACAAAATTAAAATTAAGTGTTCCTTCCTTGTTTATGCTTTGCACACATAACAATGACACTAGCCAAACCAGTTAAGAAACAAAAATAATTCTCAGCAGCTGCACCTCTTACAATAAAATGTGTGAAACTGAAAAGTGCACAGAATTATTCAATCACACAGTGTTCAGAAAGTGCATTGTCCTCTATTCTGCACTTTAGATGAATGACTGTTTAGGTGCCTTTGCTGGTAGCACTGTTTTGATACTTTTAAAAACGAGTATTGTATCCGGATACAGCGTTTCAGTATCGATACTTTTTTGAGTATCGATACTTTTGACAACCCCCATATATATATATATATATATATATATATATATATATATATATATATATATATATAAAATTATGAGATGATGGAGATGAGAAATCTTCTTCCATGTTGGTGAATAACCAATTGTTTGCATCAATTTTTTTTAATATACTGTGTTTGTTTTTCAAAAATATATAAGAATTATATTCTAATTTCTAGTTACCGATCTGTTGTTACTATATTTTAATTTTATGAACTGGAACTTCTCAATGTTATTTTTCCTGTTATGTGCAATTGCAATAGCTGATCTTGACCTGACCGGACCGGAGCAGAGCAAAAAATTGCTCAGCTCTGTATTTTGGCGGCGAAGGACAGAGAAGATGTGCATGGACGGAGACGTGCGGAGGGGTAGCAGTGGATGTGGAACAACACTCACATGATAGACAAGTGCTCCGCACGATTTACGTGAGCGGAGCGCTGACGGAGTATGTAGAATCTGGGGGTAAAGAAGTGTGTTGTCAGCTTCAAAGGATAGGGCTGGGTACCGAACATCGGTTCTTTTATGGTACCGACTGAAATGCTACGGTTTTACTGAAATGCCTCGTCTTTCGGTCCCAAGTTTCGGTGATTGGCTGTAACACTTAATGTGATTGCGTCATCCAGGAAAAATACAAAGGTGGTCACGCCTACAGCCAGGGTTCATGTGTATCTGTTGTGTACTGGTTGCGAGCGTCGTGGAACCCCTGTAAAATGCCCCCCAGGTCAAAAGTGTGGCTTCACTTTATTACGACTGATGCCAATATTGCGCAATGCAATACATCGTGCACGGAAACAATTTAAGGAGCAGAAAGTTGCTCTGTGTTTGACTGCAAGAAGAGTGGACCGCAGCCGGCGCAACCATACTCCTCTCAGCAGCCTGTGGGCAGTGCAAAGCCAGAGCGGAGTTAATCAAAGCATCAACCACCCTACTCTACCTCATCAGAGAGCCAGTTGGAATGTGGAAGACGAAGGTGGAAGGTGGAAGACTACTCTAATCCTTTCCAGGTTACTCATCCAAGCTTACGTTGATTCAAAGCATCGAAGTGTTCTGCCAGGGACCAAGAGCCAAAAAAAACTTAATTTTAAGTCTGCTTCTGTCTACTTGAACCCCAGTTGCCCTCGGCAGATGGCCACAGACACTAAGCTTGGTTCTGCCGAAGGTTTCTTCCTGTTAAAAGGGAGTTTTCTTCTCCACTGTCGCTACATGCATGCTCAGTGCGAGGGATTGCAGATTGAATGAGTCCTTGCAATCAGCTACTTTTCCTTAGAGAGATATATTTTAAAGAATATGATTGTGTTACCTGTATAAATAAATTTCATATTTTCAAATTTCAGCTTTTCTCTGTCTGAGTCTCTCCAGGTTAATATGAAATTCAGGAAGAGGGATGACCGTCGCTCATGGTGGAGAAAAATGTTAAATTAGATTTACAGTTTTCATAGGGCACTAATCTGTTTGGAGGGGTTTTGGTTACACACAGATTTCCTTTAAGAGGTCAGCTGGGATGTAGGTGTGTTTTCCATTTTCTTAAATATTTTCCAAATGACATGTATACAAGACATTAACCACAATCGAGGACAAGGGATGGCTGTTGCTTATGGAGATAATTTTTTTATTTATCATTTAGTTTTCAGAATGCGCTAAGACTTCAATTAAAGATTATTTTGCAAATCAATTAATCTGTTGGATTATTTTTCTGATTAATCGATTTATAAGCAATTAGGTTCTTTAATCAATAATCAAAGGCTCCTGAGTAGCTTTGCCTCGTCTGTTCCTGTTTGGCTGTGACTCCATCCTGGAAAGAAACATCAGCTGTGCTAAATAAAACAAGACAGGAACGGTTTTTCTTCACGAAACTTTTTTTTGGAACGTCATTGAACAGCGCTGATGACCCGGTGAGTAGCATATTTAAAAAAAAGAACGTTTAAGGTTGTTTTAAGGACATTATCGGACATGCACTATGGAAGCCATTCTGAAGCAGCAAGGGGGGGATTCTGCATGAGCCAAAAAGCAGAGACAGGACCAATTGTCAAAATTTTGGTGTCGATCATTCGATTTCATCCTGGACACTACAGAAAATGGGCTAAAAGTGTTAAAAACCGGAATTATCCTTTAACATAATCTCTATGTGATCTCACCAAATAAGCAAGGTTGACAGTATCTTGTTGTTGTTAAGAGCTACAGATCTAAAATTAAACCCATGAGGGATGAGGGATAGCTGTCATGAAGATTGAAAGAATTTTTTAAATGGGGAACCTATTGTTTGAACCCCTTAGGGGCTTTAAAAAACAAAAGTGCCTGTCTTTTTGCGCTTTATGAAACAAAGTAACCTATATTTTGTGGATGTACAGCTACATTTCTCATGTAAGTTTGCGTAGTTTTAACACAAACATTTATTTTTCATATTGCACCAGTACAGTTAATGAGCAATCTGTACTTGTTTGTTCTGTCTAAAATGTTTATTTTGGAATAAAGAGGTTAATATAAAAAAAAAATATTTTGTCCGATTCATCGATTAATCGAAAAAATAATCGGCCGATTCATCGATTTTTAAAATAATCGTTAGTTGCAGCCCTAAACTGCACCTTACTATTACAAGGACATTTGATTTGAATTGGCATCAACTTTAATACAACCAAAATGCATGCACACATAAAAATGTCTGCAATTTATTCCTGCATAAAATGATAGTTAGGTTGTTTGTATGAGTTTGAAATGGATTGTCAAATTTAGTTTTTACAGAGACTTAGTTTTTGTTAAGGAAAAATACAGACCTATATGTTACTTATACACTTGGAATTTATGATGTGCATCTATCCTGATATTGTATTAATTTCTGTTCCAGATTGAAGATACACCACCATCAACAACCTACCAGCCATCCAGAAACAATGACAGGCCGGCTATACAAGCTTCCTTAATTTCTCACACCAAATACAAATCTGACTCTCAGGACTAGCAAGCTATGCCTTGTTTCACCTTAAATACTGTACCTTTATATACCATGTGAACTAGCTGGCAGGAAAGCACTTTTGTTGTATCAGTTGGAGTTTTTTTTTTCTTAAACATTGATCTCAAATCTATTTATTTTATTATTCTACGGTATGTGAACTAGCTTTAAACAGCCAGCACTTGTGTTAAGTTCATAAGACACTTTCTTTTATTTATTTGTTTCCTTTGTCAGGTGTATTTTATTTGTTTTAATACAAGCATTTGTGTTTGTGTCTTTGAACCTTAACAATGTTCAAAATAAATATGCAAATATTGTCAGAACATCTTCCATGTCTGCATGTGTTCCTTAAAATTGTGATTTTTTTAATCAAAAAGATGAGAGAAAATGTTTGAATGTGAAATAATTTTAGGAAATGTTAAATATTATCTGTCGACAAAAAAGTAAAAGGTTAAAATTATGTCCTGACTAAAACTAGACTAAAATTTTGACAGTTTTTGTTGACTAAAACTAAACGAATAAAATTATGTTTTCTTGGACTAAAATAAAGACTAAAATGCTCGACTAAATGTGATAAAAACTAACAAGCGATGCTGAAACTGGACTAAAGCTGAAACTAAATTTAAAAATGGCTGGTAAAATTAACACTACTTCGGTGTGAACCCACCATAACACAATTTGAGGCTGCGTGGGTCCTTGCTGCCTCCCATGCATGTTTACAGCTGGATATTGATAGCAAAGGAAGTGGTGGGGATTTCCACTGTTCCATCCACATCTCGGACTATCAAAACAAGCACCACTGCCAACTTTCATTTTAGTTCCAAATAAACCTTCTGTTGGATCTTCAGTCATTTCCCCATGAGAAGCATTAATTATGAGACATGAAAACGTGTGGTCACTAAAAAATACACGAAGGCAGGAAAGAAGTTGCGAATGCAGGTATGAGCAATCACAGGTCCCCCTGCAGCTCCAAGTGTACACAAATCCGAGTTTATTATTAATAACGGAAACGTCACCACCGTAAATAGTCTACCACGCAGCAATATCACCTCTTAGCATCCATATTTCATAGATAAGTGATCACCCTACCTGCCTCCACCGTATCGCTCAGGTCCTGGTTAGCAGCTGTCCGGGGAAACTCCTTCAGCTTGCGGCAGCTGAGGTTCAGCACACCGCTGGCCGCTGCCTCCTCCAGCGCCCGCTCCAAGCCACGGTTTGGAGGCATGTTCGAGCTGCAGACGTGATTCTGAGTAGACGGAGAAACGCCAAGCTGGGCGAGGGCAGGGCGAGCCGATTCCGGCCCCAACGTCGCCATAATGTTTCGCTTCTCCGCTGCGTGGTCTTTCGGTAATATCCAGATGGGAAAGGTCAGGGTTAGACGCCGACCTCCCAAAGCCTGCCGTGAATGGCGTGCCCTGCTGCGAGATCAGACTTCTTACTAATACCTTTGCGTCTTCCTTTCTTATCCAGTTACGTCAGGTTTGCGGTATTAAAGAGCAGTGCAACATCCGTGCTGACTTTCAAAACAAAACCCAACCAAAACTCCCAACTAATTACAGACATCCCAAGTTCCAAAAACTTCTTCTTCTTCTTATGGGGTTTTATGGCGGTTGGCAGGCTTGTGAATTGTGCATTACCGCCACCAACTGATATGGAGTAAAGCAAGAAAACAGAAAACGATTCACCCAAAAAAAAAAAAAAAAAAAAAAAAAAAAAAAAAAAAAAAAAAAAAAAAAAAAAAAAAAAAAAAAAAAAAACCTGTGTAACTTAAACCAACATAATACTAAATCACATTTGCCCATATAATTTTAATTTACTCTAGGTCATCTTAACTCTGCCAGTTTCTGATGGTCCCATCGGTCCTCCCATCATACTTCCAACCATCTCCCAGTTCAAATCTTTAATGTCCAGGTATTTTTCTGCAGCCTTCACTATTATTTTGATTTTTTCCGTTTTTTTTGTTGTCTGTGCAGTACAATTAATTACTTCTACCATGAAAAGAACAAAATTTGTCTTTTTAACAATAAGTGAGTCTTCATCAATTTTTTGATTCTCTAGAGGTTTGGAATTTGCCGTGTGTTGAACTGTAGGTTTGGGTTTTTCTGACTGAGATGGGATCCTTTTTGCAGCTTCAGCGTAGGTTATTCCGAGCTCAAATTTCATTTTTTTAATTTCCTCAGACCTTTTGCTTGCTTCACAGCCGCGATAGGCAGCAGTATGTTCTCCACCACAATTACAGCATTTTATTATAGCTTCTTTTCCACATTTTCCGTACTCATGTTCTCCTGCACACCTTCCACACCTCTGTTTCCCTTTACAAACTGCTGCAATGTGACCGAATTTTTGGCATTTGAAACATCTCAATGGTGGAGGATTGTAGATTTTGACATTATAGCTTATGTAACCGATGAATACTTTGCTTGGTAATTGCTCTTCCTCAAATTTAATTAGCACTGATAAACTGTCAGATCTTTCTCCGTTTCTTGTTGTTTTTAACCGTTTTACTTCTTTTACTTTTGCACCGCTTATGTTTTCCAGAATCTCTTTTTCAGAAATTTTTAGAGGAACTCCTCCAATGACTCCCCTGCTGATCTTTTTGTTCTCCATTAGGCTGCACTGAACTCTTATCCCGTCAATTTTGTTGATCCGTATTGCTTTGCCTTGCTGGGCGCTGTCTCTGCAGTTAATTAGCAGGTCTCCACTGTACAGAATTCTGGCACCTCTGACTTCTCCGACAAGTTTATTGATGGTTTTTGTTAAGTGAACCGGATTCCAATTTGTAAAAGAGTCTGCCTGATTAACGACTTTGAATATGACTTTGAATTCATTTTGTTGTGCTGTGGAATGTATGGAATGATCATCACTGGATTGTTCTGAACTAGATTCCCCTTGAACTGATCTCTGTTTTTTCCGCTTTTTCTCATTTTTTGATGTTGCTATCTTCCAACCTTCATTGTCACTATTTCCCTCTTCCATCCCACAAGAATCGCTTCCTGTTTCCTCACTACTCACGGCCCAAGACATTTCTCCATAAGCAGCTTCAAAACACGCGCCATGCACCAAACGACCATCCACATGCAAAAACGCTGTCGTTCCAAAAACTCATTTCAAGGAGATGCTTATCCCCCCCCCCGCCCGCCCGCCACGGTGTCATCATTCCTCACCATGGCCGGATCTAGACAGGGGCCAACAGGGGCCAGTGCCCCTGTAGACCTCCTGGTCCCTGTTATGGCCCCTGTACTGAAGACAATACTTATAAGAAATTCTAATGATGACATGTGCAGCAACAGACATGGTTACTGATAGGTCCTGTCTGTCGTATTCGTGCTTGATAAAGACCAGACGTCAGTGGCGGCCGGCCCATAGGGGGCGCTGGGGCACCGCCCTCCCTGATAAGAAGAGAGAAACGTAAAATATATTTTTAGAAATTAACTCATAAATGTCAGTTTTACTGTGTAACTATAAGCAAAACAAATTATATAAACTACATTTCCCTATCTACTGTCATTAATTTGTGGATTTCCACAGACAGACTCCTACCGTCTCTGTTCTGGGGGCTGTGATCAGACTGACCCACATTTGCAGAGAATCTGTCAATCATGTAGGTGAATTTAATGGCCAATCAGCGTCTCGGAACTTTATGGTATTGGGGCGCTGAAAATACTGCGCTTTTACAGGCTTCTGAACCCAAGCGCAGGTGCAGACAATTAGAGGGAAGATGGCGAATGTAACGAGCGAGATGCAGCTTCCACCAAATTCGGTGAGATCCTTATTTATCTACCCGTTTGCCAGAAGAACATCCCTGTTGTATGATATGAACATTTCATTTCATGGTTATTGTGACTGTGACGAATCCACCTCGTCTTGTGTGTGTGTGTGTGTGTGTGTGTGTGTGTGTGTGTGTGTGTGTGTGTGTGTGTGTGTGTGTGGGTATGTGGGGGGTGTGGGTGTGTACGTGTTTATGCGGGGACTTGTCATCTTCAGTCTGGCTGCGTCTTTGCTGGGTTCAAACCCAGTTTGGTGTAATTGAATAAGTCAATGAATCTGTGTAAAAGAATTAAGTTGTAAAAATTATTTGTTTTTGTACATCAATTGTTTGTGGAGGTAATATATGGACAAAACTGATTAATGAGAAGAAATCAGAAATAAGAGAGCCTGAGGTGAGGGGCTTAAACTATTTAATGAGGGCTGTGGGAAGAAAAGCAGCAATTTTTGTTTTCTGTTTCTTTGTTACATTGCTGGTAACTGGAGGGAGGCTGAGGCCCAGAGTATCTTGTATATGTTTAGTTTCTTTTGCACCCTGTTTTGAGTTTTTGAGCTCAATAAATCACCAACACCGGTAACCCGACTGAGACTGGATTCTTGGAGGCCAAAGAACCCCGTCACAGTGACCCAAATCATCACTGTTACTGTTATTATATAGTAAATTAAATCATTACTGTTAAATTGTATGTATTGTCCAATTGTTTATTTGAATTCTTATTCCGGGTTAGTTGGAGACATACACTAGGCTATATCAGCCCCACCAAAAATATTTTTCACCAGCCGCCACTGCCAGACGTTGTATAATGCTCAGATACTTTTATTGAAGCATCTTTTAGAGGTCTGTTTACACAGCTTGTTCACAGGTGTGTCACATCTCCTTCTATTGTTCCATTCTCTACATTTATACATTCACGTTAACTCATGCTTGCCACCTAGTGGACATAAACATAATTCATTCAATCATGACATCCTCCTTTCTTTAAAGTAAGATTGTTACAAAAAGAATCCTATCAAAAAAACAACATACATTGCATGAAAGTTACCACATAGCTATACTTAACACATTCAAAACATCAATTACAAAATAGACATTTCAACTTTTTTTTTTTTTTTTTTTTTACAAGTTCAGTCTGTCAGGTTTTTTCACCACTCTGGTAGATCTTCTTAAGACAGGTAGGTTGTTCCCAAGACTGTCACAGGGTGTTTCAGTCGTAGGTGTTTCAGTCATAATACTACTCTGGGAGTCCTTAGAAACTTCACTTGACTCAACAACAGGCTCTAATGGAGTTTTTAACAAACTGCGCCGATTTCGTCTCAGAACTTGTCCATCTTCAGTTTTTACTTCAAATGAATGTGGAGCTACTTCCTGCAGAATAGTTGCTTTAGTATTCCATCCCTCATCATCCTCAATCCTTACAGGATCCTTGTATGACAGTGGAGGTAGAATCTTAGTTGATCTGTCATAATATGACTTTTGTTTTACTTTCTGCTTTCGTAACTTGTACTCCAACTTTGATGATTTCTTTGCACTTTGTTCATTACTATCATAACTTGGCAAAGTTGTACGAATCTTTCGATTCATCAAGAGTTCAGCAGGTGAAAATCCACATTGCAAAGGTGAAGATCTGTAGCTTAATAAAGCTAAATATGGGTCAGAGTTACTATCTGCAGCTTTCTTCAGAAGTTGCTTAAGAATATGAACTCCTTTTTCCGCTTTTCCATTCGACTGTGCGTAATGTGGACTTGATGTTACATGTTTAAAGTCATAATGTTCTGTAAACTCTTGCCATTCTCTGCTACTAAAACATGGTCCATTGTCACTAACCACAATATGTGGAATGCCATGTCTTGCAAAGATTGATTTAGCATGTGTTATGACACAGTTTGATGACATATTAGCTAATAGAGCCATTTCAGGATAGTTCGAAAAGTAATCAATGATCACTAAATAGTTCTTTCCTTTAAAATGGAACAAATCCAGTCCTACTTTCAGCCATGGTGATGTTGGAATGTCAGTCATTATCATAGGTTCTTTACTCTGTTTATTTCTAAATGTCTGACATGTTTCACATTTACTGATTAGGGTCTCAATGTCCTTATTTAGTTCAGGCCAGAAAACAGATTCTCTAGCTCTTCTTTTACATTTTTCAATGCCTAGGTGACCCTCATGTATCCGTTGTAGAATATCCTGTCTTAATACTTGTGGAATCACAATTCTGTTGTTTTTCAGTAACAGTCCATTCACAACACTTAGATCAGCTTTAACTTTGAAAAACTGTGAACATGAGCCTATTGGCCAGCCTTCATCCAAATTCTGCATGACCAACTGTAACTCTGTGTCTTTAGCTGTTGCCTCAACTATTTGCTTCAACTTGCTATCTGACACAGGCAACACAGTGGACACCATGTTCACATGACGCTGAATATTCTCTTCAGTTGAACTCACCCCATTGTCTATAGGAGCTCTAGACATAGCATCAGCAAGAATCAGATGTTTTCCTGGAGTGTAAATCAGTGTAAAATCATACCTTTGCATCTTCATCATAAGTCTCTGAATCCTTGGTGACATCTCATTCAGATGTTTTTTCCTGATGGCAACCAAGGGTCGGTGATCTGTTTCAGCTACAAAAGATGGTAGACCGTACACATAGTTATGAAACCTTTCTAGTCCATAAGCCAGCCCCAAGCATTCTTTTTCTATTTGAGCGTATCTGCATTCAGCTTTGGTCATGGCTCTGGACGCAT